CATGGTTGCTTCTTTGAAACTGAGGCTCCCCACAACCCTGGGGCATACTGGGATGCTTTTCAAAATGGCGGACGATCATTGGGGGACCAACGGCATCCATTTTTGTACCCACGTCACCGCGTGCCAGTTTTGATTGGTACGCTATAAATGTAAGATCCCGGAGGCGCGTCGCACACTTTCCACCCCCCTCTCTTTCCCCGGTCGAGTGCCTGTAGGAGCGTTGCGCAGTTCAGTGGTTAACACTTTCGCGCCCCCTTCGATGGTAAAAAAAAAAGCGGTATGTGCGCGCGGCGTTTTTGCTGAGTAAGCGTAAAAACAAAAATGTGTATACTCTTTTTACTCTCCTTACCTTAGTTCTTGAGCTACGTATTTCATTTTGGTACCAACGTGTTCGCAATAAAATTCTCTAGAAGAACATCAGTAAAAAAAGTCACGAAACGTATAGGGATACCAGCACCAAATAAATAACTACGAAGATGACTCGCTGTGAGCGCCCAACAGCAACAAAATGTTTTTACTCTTGGGATTGTTATCACCTCCACACTTGTCCTACAGCCTTAATTTTGGTATCAATGGACTCGCAATGAAATTCCCAACACGGTGATATGAATATAAGCGTAGAATAATGATTGCGGCCCGCCCGCAAGAGTGTGGGAAGTGGTGAAATTGTTACCCGGTATCGGTGACGGGACGACGCACGGCGCTTTGAAAGTTTATACTTATTTCACTCTCATGACATTAATTTTCTATGTACGTCATTCATTTTTGTGTCAATGTGTTCGCAATAGAATGTTCTATGAGCCCGTAGGTAAAAAAGATCAACAAAGCGTAAGATAGAATAGCGCCAAATATAAAACAATGCTGGAACATATCAGTGAGCGTCAAACACACACGAAATGTTTTTACTTTTGTTATGTTTGTCAAGTTTATACTTGTTGCACACAGTTATTTTTGGTTGTACATTGATCGGAATAAAATTCCCTAAACAGACATATGCATATAATACATGATATGGGGGAAGCATTACCAGTATAAACGGCTAAAGTCACCCACCTGCAACCCGTTTGGGACATAATACCATTTGATCGAAGTGGTCCACACCTTTCATGAACTTATTGTACCATGCAGCTTAGTGGTGAGAAAGAGAGCCTCATGGCGCGCAGTTTGAAACAAACCCAAAGTAAATCGGATAAAAATTGAATTTTATACAAATATTTTAAAAGAGGACATAACTTTATGTCCACCATGCGGGAGCGGTTAGCGAAACAGGACTCCTCGGTGCGTCCTGATCCCGCGAAAGTGTTAATGAGAAACACCCCTGACCTGGGGAAGGGAGGGTGTCAGGGAGCCTCCGGGGCTCACCAAGAAACTGGGTTTCATAACATTCAATGCTGCTTTTCTGTTGAGGGGCCCCTGTTGACTCCCCGAGGCTAACTACCTACAGAAAAGGACAAAATGGGAAACTTACCAGGGAGGCAAGCAAAAACAAAGCCTTCCAAAAACAATATCGAACTAAAGGGACCACAGTAAACCAAGCAGAAGAAAAAAAAGAATGAACCCTGTCCAAAAACCAGGCAGGCTCAGGTGGTACATGAGCAGGAAGGAGGTGAAAGAAAGCATGTGAAAGATTGCGCAACAGAGTCAAAGTAAAGTCATCCCTGATCGCAAGCAGAAGCGGCTCTGCCAACACCGCATGATGAGAAGCGACAGTATTAGGCATAAGATGTTTATCAAGGAAAAGCCAAGAAAGAAAAGACAAAACCACCTGGTCGGAAACTGCAGGACAGCGGCAATGGGGGGAAACGACGAGAAGATCGCCAAGAAACTTCATACTGTCCTTGAGGAAATGATCATAGATGGGACACCTATAGTCATTGCATTTTTCCATCGCGGGAAAAATTTCACAGGAAACTGTGACCTGTTGGTCACATCTCTCATAAATTGTTTAAGGCAACATGCAGAAAGCAAAATGCTGCTGTTTGTATTATTTAATATATAACATAAATAATATATTTTATTTATAAATAATATAAATGGTGTCTGCTTCTTTAACCGCATAAAGAGGCAGACACCAAGATCATGCTGTCGCGAAGAGGTCAACTTCCGGGAGCCCTAGTGTCCAGCAAAACCAGTGGAAGGAAGCTTCCATTCACCTGGACTGTATGGGTCTCGAACCGTGGACCTGACGCGAGTGAGGCCGTAGAACTAACATGAAGCAACGAAGGAAGCTTTGTTAACAGTCCATTCCATGGAAAGAGAAAGGAAGCAAGACAGACCATCAACCAAGATGTAGGACACTCCCTGCACACCAATGGCACAGAGATGAGAACCCTGAGAACTCAGCAGAAGAGCTACCTGAAGCAACCAGCCCCGAAAGAGTCAAGGACCGAAGAGACATCCCGGCCCAGTCGAGACAAGGAACCATGGGGAACAGGCTGAATTGAGCCGGATCACCGAGCGCAGAAGAATCCGAACACTCTGCAGCACCCACCACACCACCACACACTCCTGCACCATGCTGAGAGGCCAACAACCCTGGCCAGAATGGAGAGCACAGGTCACAAAGCACAACAACAGCCGAGACAGCCATGAATACATTGTGCGAGGGAAGAGGAGAACCCCTAAAACCCCGAAGAGGAAGCCGATGATGCAGCAACCGGCACAGGGACACTGGAGTCCGAACCCAGCTCAAAACGAATCAAACGCACCCACTCGAAGACTACTCGACAGAGAAAAAAGGAGAGACCAGCCCTACCAAACCCGAACCCCCCCCCCATCAAAAGAGGGTGGAATGCCCAATGCCACACGAGAAAATAAAAAATACCTACAAATCATGGGACTAAACTCGGGCATAGAATGCCAGCCTCCCCCCAACCGCCCAAATCCAAACAGAGCAAGCACAGTGCCAACCAACTGGAAAAGCAGCTGGGGAAAACACATATGAACTGGCTGCTGGCACCATAGAAGACCCACCTTGATTAACCACTGTGCTGCGCCATCTGAGAAATCTCGTTCCGAGAGTTGAACTATTTTTTTTAATTAGGCTATTTTTAATGTTTTTTAATGTTTTCATCACTCTTTGTGTTTTGAAAGAAAATGGTTGGGTTTGGAAATATTTTGACATTAACTTTACCTGAATATTTATAAAAACAACAAAACTATGTCCTTAACAATTGCACTATGAAGTTTTTTCCAAAAACAGGTGCGCTGTGCAGGGGGTTAACAGCTAATGAAGCCCTAGACCAACTTCTCTGGGAAGATCAAGACCCCCTCCCCCACTCCCCAGACACAATAACTTATAAACAGCACAGAAAACTGAGCAATACTGTCCTCAGGAAAGAGCAGGGAACAAAAGAAAGCAGCAGGCTCTTTTTGAAGCAGAAAGAAGAGCCAAAGTTCACGCTAAGTCCAAAGAAGGTGCCAGCACAGTCTACCAACACGCAAGACGGGGAAGTGAAAAATGAGAGAGCACAACAGAAGTCAAGTGTGACCGGACCCGAAAACAGCAGCAGCCAAGATAGCTGAAAGAAGGGGAACCCGAGCAAGTAGTCGGACCAGGCCCACGGCATGGAGAATAGGGGTGAAGAGGCACACCAACATGCCTGGAGAGAAGAAGATCCATCCCAAGAAAAACCAGCAACAAAGGAGACACCTCTTGCCAATCAAGCATATGGGTATAGCAAAACCGTGCCAGGTTCATAGGGTAACAGGACAGTCTGCTAGCCAGGAAGACACTGGACCCTCAGAATGCACCCAAGGAGGGTAAGAGAACCCAAACTCTCAGGAGGCCGGATCGATGGCCGAAAGAACAAACCCAAGGTACCTAAAGGCTCCCGAAAGGCCTAACCTAAGGCGCATAATGGTCCCCCCCAGAAGGACAAACCCAAGGTACCTAAAGGCTCCCGAAAGGCCTAACCTAAGGCGTATAATGGTCCCCCCAGAAGGACAAACCCAAGGTGCCTAAAGGCCCTCCAGAAATGAACCTCCGATGAATGTCATGGAAAACGGGCAACTAGGGGAGAAACGTCAGAGTGCCCATGTGCTAATAGAATATCTAGTCACGCAACTCCCACATGCCCCACCAGCCAAAAACACTCCCAACCCCAAGGAAGACGGACAGTCACAGACTACTAGCCTACTGTAATATCGAGGACCACCCTAAAAGCGAGGAGGCACCCTAAAAGCAAAGGAGGCCCCCCCCCTAAAGGGAGCGTATACTGAATGCCCCAGGGAAGGTATCCCGAATGCCCCAGGGAAGGTATCCCTGACCATGCAAGGGTAGTATTGAAAGAGCGCACAGGGAAGAGAACCCTGAGCTCATGCAGCTCTAAGTACACTAAACTCGTAGTTCACAATATGCAGAAGCAAATAAACAGCCTCAGAGCGAGGTTGCCAGTACCGAAATTAGGTACGCAACTGGGTTTCTTATTGCCTAAACGGAGTCAAAAGTAGTGCACGTAAACAGTTGGAATGCAATTGGGCTCCATATAAAACCAAAGCAGGCTACAAACCCCAACCAGGCAACCCTGTCTCAAAGGCCATAAGCAACCACTTAGCTGACGAAGGTTACTGGAGCCAGAGTGACTGACGACCACACCCAGGCACACATTAGCTAGAACTGAGGTTGTAATGATCCGGTTGACCCAGTACGCCTCCCTCCTATCCCCAAATGAGGGAAATGACGTGGGGTCTATTAGCAGGAGATAATTTCATAAAACCTTTGGTGGTTTGTTTTCATTATTCGAGGGAGGTCTTCTGGCAGTTTTAATCATGCAGTTGCATGATTAAACTTTAAATGTAAAGCTTCATAGCCTATCTCTCCCTGCAGCTCTTCTGAGGGGGCCAGGTTTTGGCTCGTGGTCCCCGGTAAGCCAATATAACTCCGCAACTGATGGCACCTGGTAGTATGGCACTGATCAGTGTATGATAGCTTCCAGGAGCCAACAGGGCTTCCCCAAAAATAAACATTTTAAATGCTTAACAAATGCAGTATTACATACCTGTGCAGGTTGTGGCACAGTAGTAACAAAGAGATTATCCAACTTGTGATCACGAGGATAAAGTCTAAGCTCATCAGTATTAGCAGGGATGTTGTATGCACCCAACACCAACCAATTTGATTGCCACCACAACAGCCCTCCTGTTACCACAAAGTCACGCTCTTGACTCTCATTTCCAAAAAGATGCCAGCGTCGTAACCGCAATGAATAATGTGCTACACCATTGCGTCCAGCCACACCTACAAGCTCACCACCTTCATCAACACACGTGTACTGAAATAGGAATCACATTTGTTGTGGTGAGTATCATTCCCCAGACTTTCACAATTCTGGTGGGTCAATAATATTTTGTAACCACATAAAATTAATTTTCACTAAAACTCATGCAAATAAGCAGACGACGAGTTACAATAACATGGCTGAAGATATGACGACTAAACCATACACCAGAAGTTGAAGAGACGATGACGTTTCTGTCCATCCTGGACCCTAATCAAGTCGAGTGTCCATAATCGACTTGATAATGGTCCACGACGGACCAAGACGTCGTCATCACTCCATCTTCTTGTGCTAATAAAATGTACTAGTATTGTTCATATATTTCCACATATAAAGAGTGTTACACAAATAACTTGAATATAAATAAAATATATGTGGTAGATTTAAGAAATGACATTATCCCATGTTTGTATTTGCTAGCCATCATGCTGAAAGAATACGTGAAATATTAACTTCCATCAAAAGTGCCTCTGAATTGTAATAATAATGTATCGATAACAGGTTGGAATATAATTTGTGTTAACAAAAACATTATTTAGGGACATTTGTAAATAATGTTAAGGTACATGCCAAACAGTATACAGATACAGTCCTGTAATCTGGGTATAATGTTTATTGTTATGAGTATGTGGTGCTTGCAGGTATGTGGAGCCAGGCAAAGATATACTTGTCTGGCCATGTGGTATGACCTTCAGTCCAGATAATGGCATGCACAGTCTTTTTCAATTGGTGAATTTTAATACATTTTGATTAGTACCATAATGTTGTATGTGCAATTATTAAAAGGGTGCAATTTAAAAAACCAGCGTTGAATGTAATGAAACGCCATTTTCTGGGTGAGTCCCGGAGGCTCCCCGGAGCTATCCCAGGCTGATATGTTTATGTCAGACTTTGGCATCAGTCATGTGTATGGAGTTCTTAGGCCTACCGGGGACCACGGCCAGAACCGGGCCCCCTCAGAGAGGCAAGGGAAGCAATGGCCTATAGAAGCCCCCATGTAGTTGGAAGCATTCTATGTCTGCCATCGACCGGAACAGGCACCCAGAAAGGTAAGCGCCCCAAAACAAACCCCTATTCTGGTTAAAATTGCTACCAAAAACCGAACTAGTGGATAGAACTCCCCAACCGAAAACAAGCAAACTAGTGTGACGTCACACACCGCCGCGCCGCTGTCTGCGCAGCTCCCCCCTCCCCGGGAGGGGGAAGGGGGAGCCCCAGACCCCCCGCGCCGGCTACCCACACCTCAGTTCTTGAGGCTGGATGTCAAAAACGCGAAAAAACGCCGACCGGAGGGAGGGAGGGATGCCGGGGAGCCTCCGGGACTCACCCAGAAAATGGCGTTTCATTACATTCAACGCTGGTTTTCTGGGGGGAGCCCCGTCGGCTCCCCGGAGCTAACTACCCACAGACAGAAAAAAGAGGGACTTACCCGGGAGGCGGTCATCGCTCACTCCTCAACTTGAAGCCGAGACAACTGGCTGCAACCGCCGACCCCAAGCAACACAGGCCCGACAAGGCCCAGGGACATTCACAAGGTAACGAGCAGCCAGGACCCTGTTCGACCGCCAAAATCCCCGCGCCCGAATATCAGACCAAGACATATTCCCAAAGACGGCAGCAAGAGCCGCGAACTTACGAACGTCATGGGCACGGGGATAGACCGCAGGCTGGCTGGACCTAATAACCCTGCGGACGACCTGAGAGACCCGAACCCGCGAACAGGGAAGAAGGGAAACCGGATCAACCCACAGCGCGTCCCCGGACACAGAAGCTGTGGCGCGCAAATAACGGCGAAGCGCCGCAACCGGACACAAAACATGATGCACCCCCGGCCTGACCAACCAAGCATCAACCACCCATGGACCCCTCCGGAACGCAGCAGTCTCATTCTTTGCCAGAAAAGAAGGAGACGGCTGCAAACGAACAAAACAATCACCACGACCAAAAGAGCAGAAACCCCTGCGCCGGAGGAGAGCATGAAGCTTCCCTACCCGACCCCCAGAGGCCAAAGCCAACAAGAAAAGTGCCTTGGAAAAACAATCCTGGACCGAAGGGGCCACAACAAAACGAGGAGATGAAAGGAAAGCGAGCACTCTGTCCAAAGACCAGGACGGCTCAGGCGACGCATGAGCAGGCCGGAGGTGAAACAATGCACGAGACAGCTTGCGAAACGGCGCAGACGTAACATCGATACCGAAAGCAAGCTGAAGCGGCTCCGCCAGCGCCGCACGATACGAAGCGACAGTGTTAGGCATAAGATGATGGTCCTGAAACAACCACGAGAGGAAGGACAAGACCACCCGAACAGACAAGGAGCTAACACGACGAAGACGCAGAAAGAAACGGAAGGACCACCAGGAAACTTCATACTGCCGCCGAGAAGAAGCCCTCAGGTGGACACCAACAAGGAGGCCACCTGATCACCATAGAGATGATGATAGACTCGAGTAAAAAAAAACCATATGCGAAGACTCAAGGAGAAGATCGAACCAGCCACGTGACATACCGGCCCGATCTGCTGAAAGAGGCGGAGCCGCGGGAAAACCCTCGGGTTCGGACACCGAGCAACCAGCGCCTGAAACCAAGGCTGGGCCGGCCACCAAGGGGCCAGAAGGACAACTCTCCCCTGGTAAGTCTCTAAGCGAGTCAGGACCTGGAGCAACAGCCGAACCGGGGGAAAGAGGTACAGGAACCCCCACCTCGACCAGTCTAGCCGAAAGGCATCGACCCCGACACCCTCGCGATCGGGGAAGGGCGCCGCATAAACGGGAAGACGCCGCGACCACGCCGACGCGAAGAGGTCCACTTCGGGGCGCCAGAACGTCTGGCAAAGCCAACAGAAGGACTCGTCGTCGACCATCCACTCCGTGGAGAGGGGAACGAAGTGAGCCAGGGCTTCGGCCAAGACGTTGGACACGCCCCGTACGTGAACCGCCAGGAGAGCCAAACCCCGAGAACTCAGCAGACGAGTCACCCGAAGCGACCAACCCCAAAGAGACAAGTACCGCATCAAACCCCCGCGGTTCAGGCAATGAACCACAGGAGAGCAGTCCGAATGGAGCCGAATCGTCGATCCGCGGGCCACCCGAATCCTCCCCAGAGCAAACCACACTGCCGTGAACTCCCGCACCGTGCTGTGAGCTCGACGGAAGGACGGATCCCAACGCCCCTGGCCGGCCTGGTGAGCACTGGTCACAAAACCCCAACCGCGAGACGACGCATCCGTGTACACATCGAGCGAGGGCTCGGGTAGGCGCCAAGGTACTGAACCCCGAAAAACCCGAAGAGGAAGCCGGTGACGCAGCAACCGACGCAAGGCCCCCGGGGGTCGAACTCTGCGATCGCGAGAGAGGCGGAAGGGGGAACCCCGAAGGAACCAGAACAGCCGTCAAAGCCAAACCCGACCCGGCGGGTAGACCACCATCGCGAAGTTCAGGCTCCCGTACAGCCCCTCGAGCAACCGCCGGGTGACCCGAGGGCCCTCCAGAAACAGACGAAGGCGGGACCGCAGCCGCAGGAGAGACTCCGAAGGAAGAGACAAGGAGGCGGTTCGAGAGTCCCAAACGAGACCCAGCCAAGTCCGAACCTGAGGGGGAACCAGATGGGACTTCCTCCAGTTCACCAAGAACCCGAAATCGGCGAGCTGGGAAAGAACCAAATCCCTGGCTAGCAAGCAAGCTGACTGGCTGGGAGCCCAAACCAGCCAGTCGTCGAGGTAGGCCAACACCCGAACACCTAGGAGACGCAAACGAGCCACCACAACCCGTGTAAGGCGCGTGAACACGCGAGGTGCCAGGTTCAACCCGAACGGGAGACAACGAAAGCGGTAACTCAGACGCCCCACAACAAAACCGAGCCAGTCCCTGAACCGCGGATGAATCGGGACATGCCAATAAGCGTCCCGGAGGTCCAGGGACACCATCCAAGCTCCCGGCTCCAAGAGGAGCCGAACCTGAGACAGCGTAGCCATCCGAAAGGAGGGGCAATGAACCCAGGGGTTCAGACGGGACAAGTCCAGAATGAACCGCAGGTCCGCGCAGTCCCGTTTCGGAACCGGAAACAGGCGGGAAACCCATCTGAGGGACGACGTCGTTTCGACGACGCCCAAGCGTACCCACTCCAAGACGACTCGACAGAGCGCAGGGGAAGAAACCTGCCCTGCCAGCCCCGACCCCCCAAAGGGGGGAGGGGCCACCCAACGCCACCGCAGGCCGCGAGACACGACCCGAAAGGCCCACGAATTGTGGGACCAGGCGCAGGCGAACAGCACAAGCCGCCCCCCCATCGCCCCGTCAAGGGGGCAAACCGCGAAAGGGCCAGCGACCCTTACGAGACCCAGAACCCCGCACAGTGCGAACACCGCGCCGACCAGACGAGGGAGGGTCCGCAGGAGGAGCCAACCCCAAACCTGACACCAGAGGCCTACCACGACGAGAGGAACCCCGAGCCCTGGCACGACCTTTCTGGAAAGACCCACCCCGGGACCCCCGGAAAACCAACAAGTCCGACATCGGACGACAAGCCGCCGACGCTGCCTGAATAAACTGCGTCACGGCCGACTCCCCAAACAGGAGAGGACAAAAAGGTGAAGAACGCCTAAGAGCCAGAGCCCAAGCAGAATCCACAGAGGAACCCAGCACCGCCTGCCGACACGCGAGACGGGAAGCATAAAACAGGGAAACCGCATCCCGCAAAATCGGCGTGAACAGCTTCAACAAGGCAGCCGACGAACGCGCAGCCGAGGACAAGGTGCCGGACCCCGGGACGGACCCAAGCGTCCCCACATCCTCCATGAGCCAATCCAAAGACAGCTCCAGGAGGGAAAAGAACCGCAAGGCCGAACACAAAAGGCCCCGGGCGCCCAAGTCCTCCGCAACGAGCGCCGCCGAAAGGGAGGGAACCTGCACATGGAGCTGAATAACGCCCACATCGCGGGGAAGGGCAGGGGCAAACAAGCACTCATTCAGCTACTCAAGTTCGCCCCCCAGGAAAAC